GTTCGAAAGGTTCTTGGCATCATTCCACAATCACCGGTTCTTTTCTCAGGTATTGGATCTGCTATTATATAAGCTAGTGAATCTTCTGTTATGTGTAAACTAATTTGGTGCAGTCTTCTTTCTTTATGTTGCTACAGATATTTTGCTGATGCAATAGTAGAATTATCTCATTGCTCATATCGCATAGTTTAGCTTCTATGTAGATTTTTTATTTCTCTGCTCTGTTGCTAATTGATAGCCTACCTGGGATGTTGCATGCCAAGCTATGATGCACGGACACGGACACGTGTGTTTGACACTATACGCGTCGGATATGTCGACACACGATTTTTAAAAAAGTACAGACACGACACGTTATCGTCACGTTAATTAAATTCTTAAAAATTTCATTTATATAGTAATAACTTTGAATTAACAATATATAATATTTCTAATATAAAAAGAAAAATGATTACGGTAGAGTGTCCGAGAAGTGTCGGTATCGACTCGTGTCCGACACTTCACATGTTACCCTAATTGAAGTGTCTGTGCTTCAGAGATGCCACGAGATTTTGGAACTCTAATTTCCTTCACATGTAGATTGAGAGGTTACAACATGCATTAGGAGGCTGTGTTGCATCATATGGCAGCCGTGAGGATTATTGTCACTAAGATATCTAGCGATGTCAAGTTCAGATTTGTTAAATTTTGAATAATGGTGAAATTTAGTATATTGAATCAATACTTTTAACAGCTTAATCATGATAAGCAATCTGAGTAAACTCCATGCCAAATAAGACCTTGCAACAAATTTTTGAAATGTACCTTCTACTCTTAAAAAGCAGGCATTATATATAATTGACCTTTTTAGGTGCTGACAATTATGGTGCACTTATATAACTATGGTGATTGTATGTTTCATTTTGGCCAGGCACGGTGAGATTTAATCTTGATCCTTTCAATGAACACAATGATGCTGACCTGTGGGAGGCTTTAGAAAGGGCACATCTAAAGGATGCCATCAGGAGGAATTCTATGGGTTTGGATGCGCAGGTACTGAAATCATACTTTGTTCACTGATATTTAGTGCTTGTTTGGTAGGAATTTTTGGGAGAAAAATTGATTTTGAATAGTGATATGATGGAAAGTGTGTGGTTGAAAAAGAAGAAAAAATTATTGATGTGATAGAAAATATTATTTTATTGAAAAATGTGTGGTTAAAAATGAGAATTGATTTGAGAATCAATTCTCAAAATCAGAAACAAACACCCCCTTAGTATTTCACCAACACTTTTTTAACCTCTAACATGGAGAATGAATGCTCTTTTCTTCAACCGGAATCAAATTTGTTATACATACGGTGTATGTCTAGTTTGCAAAAATATTATTGGGAAAGACTAATCATTAATTTGATCATTTGCTAATGAATGCAAGTAATTGAAATATGTGCTCCACGTTGCTATGTTTGAACTTGACAGTAAAGTTTGCATTTGATTTTCTGTTCTGTTTTGAACTTACTCAAAATTCTGCCTTATCAAGGTCTCAGAAGCTGGGGAGAATTTCAGTGTTGGACAGAGACAGTTGTTAAGTCTTGCTCGAGCATTGCTTCGCAGATCAAAAATTCTTGTCCTCGATGAAGCGACCGCTGCTGTTGATGTTAGAACTGATGCTCTTATTCAGAAGACTATAAGAGAGGAGTTCAAATCATGCACAATGCTCATTATTGCTCACCGTCTAAATACAATTATTGACTGTGACAGGATTCTTCTGCTTGATGCTGGTCAGGTATATGGTGGCATTAGAGTCTAATTCTAATGTGTCTGAGACCCTGAATGAAAAAGATGAGGAAAAAAATGAACTGATAACCGGAATTCTTAAAATATTTGTGTTTGATTAGTCGGTAGGGATCTGGATCTGCGTTAAATAATTTGTTCCTCTTTCTCAGGTCGTGGAATATGATACTCCTGAAATGCTGCTACAAAATGTAGGAAGTGCATTCTCTAAGATGGTTCAGAGCACAGGGGCTGCAAATGCTGAATACTTACGCAGCTTAGTACTTAGGGGGGAAGGTGATAACAAATTAGAAAGAGGAAAACAAGTCGATGGGCAAAGAAAATGGCTCGCCTCATCCCGATGGGCTGCTGCTGCGCAATTTGCACTTGCTGTTAGCCTGACTTCATCACAGAATGACCTTTTGCAGTTGGAAATTGAACATGGGGATAGTATCCTTAGGAAAACAAAGGATGCTGTTATAACACTTCAGGGGGTTTTGGAGGGGAAGCACGACAAAGCGATTGAAGAAAGCCTTGATCAGTACCAGGTTCCCCGGGATAGATGGTGGTCAGCTCTATACAAAATGATTGAAGGTATAACTTGCATACCGGTGGTATTACTATTGTATTCATCTCATGGACTGTGTCATGACATGCTAGTTGTGACGACTTGCAATGGGGAAAGTTAATCGTATTTTCATTACAAATATCCATTTCCATTTCCAGGTCTTGCGGTCATGAGTAGGCTGGCACGGAGCAGGCTTCATCATGAGGACAACTTTGCAGATCGATCGATTAATTGGGATGAAGTAGAAATGTAGGGGTGACTACGACACATTTTGACTTGATGGACTTGCAGTCTAAACAGGGAGTTGTAACTTGGAAAATAAGGGCACCGCCTGATTTAGAAGACGGTTAATGCTGTCTATTTAGAGGCCACCAAACTTGGCGAGCCTGCTTCTTTTAAATTGGGGATAGGATTTTGAATTCCATGACTATTTCCTTTTGGTGCTTTTCATTTAAAAGCTTAATTTGCTCGGGAAAAAACTTCTACTAGACACGACCTTTTATCTATTTAAAAATTTCAATGCATTAAATAGCATGAAAGTTTGTTGGATATACTTAAAAAATGTAAAATTAATTTTCAACTGACTATTTATTTCTCAAAACATTGAGGATCGTTATTTTCGTGTTTTAGTTTTTAGTTTTGAATTCATTTTCAGTTTTATGTTTTGAGTGTTCATTTTGAGATTGTTGAAAATGCGTTCTTTTTGTCATTTTGAAAAATTGTTTTCAAAAATAAAAAAATGAAATTTTGGTTTGATTTTAACTGAAAACAGTCTATTATGTTTTTGCCCTTTTTCGTTTCCTTTCTAAGTTTTAAACTCGTTTTTGGAAATTCGTATCTGAAATAGGTAAGTAAACGTGTTTTCAATATTTTTGAAAACTAAAAATTGAAAATGTCTAGAAAACAGTAAAGAAAACGGACCCTAGATAATAGATTATTTATTTATTTAGTTGTAAAGGTTACTTTCGAAACGTAACTCTCCGTCTCTCTTTTTGGGCAAATTCTCTTTACTTTTAACAAACTTTTTTTATTAATTAATAAAATATTATTTATATTTGACTTGCCAAGTAGCCTTTCCAAAGTAGATACGTGAGCGTTTGTTTTATTTCAAGTGGGTGGTCCTAACCCGAACTTACTGGAATCGAATATCGGCCGTCAAGACATGATAATAATCTCACCAATGAAAAACACGTAAGCGTTGTCGGATTTGTCCAATCTCTTCACTCTCATTCTCATTGGATAATTCGCGATAAATAATTACTTGGAATCACTCTTTTCTTGATCTTTCCAAATTCAAACAATGATCAGTGTGTCATTTATTTATGATGTTTTTCAACTGCTTTTAAATTTCAAATTTTACCGTCTTGCATTCATTAAAAAATGCAATACTAAGTAAGTATTTCAAGCAAGATATATTAATTGGCAACGGTGAATTTTATCAACTTTTGAATATATATTTTATAATTTTTTTATTAAATTTTTTGTCAAACAACCCTTTCATATTCATGTTTTTCACAATGTTCGATGCCCGTTGTGAAAGGGGAAGGTTCTAAACAAGCAATGAAAGTTGAAAAATGTCACAAGTTCTTTCAATAACGATCATTGTCCGTGTTAAATCCATGAAATATATTAACTTTTTTACAATAGACCACGAATGTTGTAAAAGGTTACATTAGCAGCATGCAATGGAATCTTGTTGTCAAATATTAATTGAGTTAATCAACAACATATATTTACTATTGTTGCGATAAACATCTTATAGTCAAATGCAATTAATGAATGATGTTTATACGCTGCAAAAGGCTAATTTTCTTGTAGTACCCTAAACCGTTTTCTCGTTTTACAATACAACAATCGATAATTAGGATTGGGCTCTCCAATCTTATAGGTAAGTGTGGAAATGATTCACAACCTTTAAAAGCGTAGTTTGACTCCCAAAACCTTGTGAAATTGGTCATCGTGTGATGAAAATTGACAATGTAGGCATTCAAGTCACGTAGGGACTCAATTTCTTATGTTAAATAGGTTTGTGAGTTAAAAGTTAAAACCTCATGTTACGAGGTTGGGAACCATTTCATACTATCTATATAGTCGAGGAGTCGTTTTCACATTTCCTAAAAAGGTTAGGGGCTCCGGCGTAATTTTATCTGTAGATATTTATAACTTCACAATAGACTTCCCACGTCAACGTCAAATAGTATACCAAACTATCTTCTCTCTCTGTAAGTTTGTGAGTGTCTTTCTCCGACTTCACCTCTGACTTTCTATATCAAAGTCAACAATTCATTTTAACCACATATTTTATGGGTTCCACGACTTTGCAACCATATATTTCATCAACTTCTATCAAAATCTTCTAAAAATCTTATTTTAATCTCCACCAAACATGGCTAAATAATTAATTATTTTTTGTGTGTATACATAGTGTGGCTATATGTATATCTCACATATGATTGAAAATTAATTTCAGATTCTAGTTTCTACAAGTACGTAACGCAATTCTCCGTCGTCAAATACTATAACAAATTTACTTTATAGGGCTTCGTTTTCATACTCCGTTTTGCTTTGCTTCATTTTTGAAATATATAATTTGCCTAGGTTTGTTAGAGAGATAATTTTCGATTTGATTATATGCTTTTCTTTGATTTGTAATGACTTTTATGAATTTTGCAGAAATAGGCATGGGGGTTGAAAACGCAGGAGGCGGCTCGGAAATCACGAAGAGGAAGAGAGGATGTTCATGTACAAAGGACGATTTTCTCCCCGAGGAGTCATTTCAGAGCTGGGGTAATTACGTAAATGCTGTGAAACATGTACCTGAACGACTGGTGGATCGGTTACTTTCCCGGTCGAAGGATGTGGCTGAGCTGCAGGTGAAGAAACGGAGCGAACACGATATGAAGAAGACGCTATCATGGTGGGACTTGATATGGTTCGGTATGGGAGCCGTACGTCATTGGGGCCGGAATATTTGTGCTCTCAGGCCAGGAAGCACGTGAAGGAGCTGGCCCTGCCATCGTACTCTCCTACGCCGTCTCCGGCGTCTCTGCCTTGCTCTCCGTCTTCTGCTACACGGAGTTTGCGGTTGAAATCCCAGTGGCAGGTACTCATACAATAGGTGCATGTTTGCTGCATATAATATGTGAACTAATTTCACCCAACGCTAATGCTATTTAGCACAAATAGTAATAAAACACCAATTTGTATGATACTAATACTGAATACATGGCATTCCCAGACATACTGACGAATGCTAAGTTAGTGCTAAGCATAGCAGAAAAATCAAGGCCTTAGTCAAATATATACACTTATCTTTTGGTATGAACAAGAATGTTTAGTCAAACAGACAATTGTCTTTTGGTAAAGCAAGGACGTCTTGTCACGTGATGATCCCAATTAATAAGGAACTAAAATTTGTTCTTATTCAGTTGGTTTTATCCTGATTTATGTCCAAAGAATCCCACTAATTTGCAGTGAAATTTTCCACGGAGGGGTCACATCTAGTATGGACATATAACTACGTTGTTGAATTTAATAAGTGACCACTTTAATAGAGGCAGGCAGGGAGCATCAGATACATTGACTTTTGAGTCAATACTCTCTTTTTCATATTGGATTGGAATTAAGGGATTGTTTGGGGGGAATTAAAATTAGATTAAAATTGAAAATATAGTTGTTGAAGTTGACTTTTATTAGAGGAGTAAGATCCAATAACGGTTATATTTTCAATTTTAATTATATTTTAATCATTCCCAAACAATCTCTAAGATTTATTGGTTTCATTGGTCTTGAAAAAAAAAAAAAAGTACCCAAGAGAAATATAGTTCTAATAAAAGTTACCTTACTATAAAAAATAAAAGTGACTTTAAAATTTTATATTTGATATAGATAAAGTAACTTAAAAATAAATTCAAATTGCTTTTAATTACAACGAAGCTATGATACACCGACACGGACACATGTGTGTTGGATATGTCGACAAACGATTTTTAAAAAAAGTATAGACAAGACACGTTGAATTCTTAAATTTTTTTCATTCATATAGTATAAATTTAATTTTATACTTATTATTAATTTTTCCTGTTGAAATCTTTTAAATATAAGTACTTATTTGTTAGTTGTTAATAACTTTGAGTTAACAATATATAATATTTCTAATATAAAGAACAATGATTACGAAAGAGTGTCCGTGTCGATATCGACTCGTGTTTGACACGTATCGGACACAAACAAGCTATCATAATTGAAGTATATGTGCTACAGAGCAACCAATTATACATTTTTGTAGAGTATATTTAAAATTGTCCCGTGGTTGACTTTACAGGTGGTTCATTTGCCTACTTGAGAGTGGAGCTAGGCGACTTCATGGCCTTCATTGCTGCCGGAAACATCCTTCTTGAGTATGTTATTGGTGGTGCTGCCGTGGCGCGTTCATGGACTGCTAATTTTGCTGCTCTATGCAACAAGGATGCTGCAGATTTTCGAATCCCAGCCCATGGTCTAGCCGATGGCTACAACGAACTTGACCCCATAGCTGTTGGTATCCTTGCAATCATTTGCATCGTTGCAGTTCTAAGCACAAAGGGCTCGTCTCGTCTCAACTACATTGCCTCAGTAGTGCACATTGTCGTGATTATCTTCATCGTAATCTGTGGCCTAATCAAAGCTGACACCAAGAATTACTCGAACTTTACACCATTTGGGGCACGAGGTATCTTTAAATCTTCAGCAGTGTTGTTTTTTGCCTACGTTGGTTTTGATGCTGTTTCGACAATGGCTGAGGAAACTAAGAATCCGGCCAGAGATATCCCCATTGGCCTCGTGGGCTCGATGGTGATCACCACAGCCCTATATTGCGTGTTGGCAGTAACCCTATGCCTAATGCAGCCATATGGATCAATTGATGTTGATGCTCCATTTGCAAAGGCATTTGAAGCTGTAGGGTGGGGATGGGCTCAGTACGTTGTTGCTGCCGGAGCATTGAAGGCAATGACATCGGTGTTGCTAGTCGGTGCTGTGGGCCAAGCTCGTTACTTAACCCATATCTCTCGAACTCATATGTTGCCTCCATGGTTTGCCAAAGTTCATCCAAAGACAGGAACACCAATAAATGCCACAATAGTCATGCTTGCTGCTACTGCAGTCATTGCCTTTTTCACAAAACTTGGTATTCTATCCAATCTCCTCTCAATCTCCACACTGTTTATCTTCATGCTTGTGGCTGTTGCCCTTCTCGTTCGTCGCTACTATGTTAGTGATCAAACTACCATAGAAAATCGGAACAAACTTATCGTATTCCTTTTGCTTATCATTGGATCCTCAATTGCCACTGCTACTTATTGGGGTGCTAGTAAAAATGGTTGGATTGCATACTGCATAACCGTACCTATATGGCTATTAGCCACAATTGGGCTTCGGCTTTTCGTCCCCCATGCTCGGGATCCTAAGCTCTGGGGAGTTCCATTGGTACCTTGGTTACCATCAGCATCGATTGCCATTAACATTTTTCTTCTTGGGTCAATAGACAAAGATTCATTTATAAGATTCTCAGTTTGGACTGCTTTCCTCTTGGTGTACTATTTCTTATTCGGATTGCATGCATCATATGATACGGCAAAGGAATTCGAAGGGAAAGCAATTCAAGATGGCAAGTGGACGAAGATTGAAGAGGGAAATGTGCCATCAGTTACAAAATCTGGCAATGATGCCGAAGACGGTAGAATCGATCCTGTATCATCTACTGTCTAGAATAATTTCATATTATTGGAATGACGAACCTGCAGCTTTTATTATTGTATTTTTACTTGCATTTGTATTTTCCACCGGCTTAACAAGGCGTGCTGTAATCCATGTTGCATAAACTAGTCTTTACTTGTATGTACAAATCGTGTGATTGTATGTAAAGTGATTTTCAATAAAACTATTTCAATTTCAGGTTCATATATAATACGTATATGAAGAATCGATTGGCTTCAATCTTAATATTTTGTTATGGTCCCGTGTTTGTACTCTGCTTATTTCTGTCTTTTCAAAAATGGCTCGAGCATCAGACAAGGTAGAAAGTAAGCTAAGTGCCTTCAATTTATTGAATGCGGCCAGTTTTCAATATTAACTGTTTGAACCAAATTATTGTAGAATGAGAATGAAAAAATAGCTGTTATTGGAGCCCACATAAGAGATAGAAAATTTGAATTTAAATGTTGATGTAATGGATAACGGTTATATTTTTTATTTTAATGAGATAATAATGTAGATCAAACGGGACTTATATTTTTGACTTTTGTTCTTTTATGATTTTTTTGTTTTTTTGCATGTAATTAATAACATATCTTAATAATTAAAGATAACGAATGATTTTTTAGTTAGGAATATTAAAAACACAAATTGTTTAACAAGTTTAATTTATCAAAGAAAATTTCATTTATAAATAAATTAGTAAAAATATAAAATTAAATAGTAAATGAGTCTTATGTCGCTAACAAAAGTTAACAATTAAAAAATAACTTATAAGTCACATATATGATAAAAAAAAAGAAAAAAGAAGGAAAACATATATTTCTTATATAATATAATTATTGTGCGAGTGACATCAAAAAACTTTCTCTTCATTGATTATCTCTTGATATATTATTTCATTTGAATCACTAGCAAATACATTAATAAGAATTATCAATAGTCATCCTGTCATCAATCCTCAATAACTTCTAGTTGGCTATTGAAAAATCGTTACTCACACTGATCATGTCATTAATCGCTAACAATAGTATGTTGGTGATTATCAAGGATGTCATCATCTATAATTATGTGTGAATCACCGACCACATACTATTGACAAATTTTAATCAATGATTATTTGCTTCATTAATTCTTGAATTATAATGATTTCTTTTGTCGTTGAAAATTACAATCTTTTCTTGCTAATAGGTTGGAAAACGGAATTGGAGCACTTCTAGGGTTGATCCAGCTTTGCGTATATGTATATTTTAGCTATTTCGGGAAGGCATGACATGGTGTTATGCCATCTGAAGTGCCACTTGACTCCGCCGGAATAGATTGGAAGCCATTAGCACCACCCGTCCGATTTTCGTCCTCCCACCCCCAAAAAATTCAGATTTTTTCTTCTTTTTTCTTATTCTGGATAGATTGGCAATGTTTTGCAGCCATTAGACTAATAGTTTATTTATTTATTATTATTTCATTGATATTGAATTTGCAAAGTTTTTAAGGTTTTTAATTGTCTGCTTAACAAGACTTTTGTTTTTGCTTCTGGTTCATGTAAAAGTTAAGTTTGTTATGATCCCGTGTTTGTACTCTGCTTATGTCAATCTTTTCGAAAATGGCTCGAGCATTAGACGAGGTAGAAAGTAAGCTAAGTGCGTTCGATTTTTTGAATGCGGCCAGTTTTCAATATTTATATTTTTGACTTTTGTTCTTTTATGAATTTTTCACTTGTAATTAATAACATTATCTTAATAATTAAAGATAACGAATGACTTTTTAGTTAGGAATGTGCGAGTGACATCAAAAATTTCTCAATGATTCCCCGATAACATCTCTTGATATACTATTTCATTTGAATCGCCAACAACTATATCGTTGTCGACAATTTCGTTTGAATCACCAACATATATATTAATAAGAGTTATCAATAGTCATACTATCATCAATCCCTGACGACTTCTAGTTGGTGATTGAAAAATCGTTACTCACACGGATCGTATCATTAATCGATAACAATAGTGTGTTGGTAATCATCAAGGATACCATCGTCTATAATTATGTGTGAATCACCAACCTCATACTGTCGACAAATTTTTATCTATGATTATTTGCTTCATTAATTTTTTATTATTGTATCCGAAAAGGCATGCATTTGCGATTTTGCCTATTGCCTCTAAAATGGCCCGTGTGTCTTTTGCATTCTCGAATAAAAGAGAATTGTCGTAAACTGACACGTTGTATGACATAATTTACATACATTTGTAAATAGCAAATTATCCCGTGTTTGAACTTGCCTATGTATATGTCTCTGCATGCCCAAATAAAAAGAGTTGTGAGAAATTCACATAAATCTTTACAACAATGGAAAGCAATAAATTGAAAGGAGAAATTCACATCGTCAACCTTAAATTTATCACCTCACAAGTGTGTCTAGTACTAATGCATGGGTCCATCAACATTTGGTTGTAATGTTTCATTTATGGCTGAAAAAATATTTGAGTCATTTCAACGGAATATGTTACATGCTAGACCTGAAATTTGTTAGGCCTGAATCGAACTCTGAAAGTTGGTCATTCAAATGGTAGTGTTCCCTCAATTTTTTCGTGTACAATTCAAAAGAAAAAATAGCCTTAAATATCTTAAAATTAACGAACAAAGAAAGCACAATACATTATTTGTAATGCCTCGAATATATATGATTTCAATTTTCCCATAATAAATTTAATAAAATGTCAAAATAAATCCTCTTGTTTAGACAGAGAAATATAAAACCAACCGTAGAAGCAATAATATTCAATGACAGATCCATAAATAGAGTTTCAAAATTTTCTTCTTGTTAGAGTTACGACTTCTTGTCACTCAAATTGCTTCCTCTTCGTAACCTCTTCCTTTGAAATTGGAGTAATTTTTGGCATTTGATTGAAATAAGTCATTAAATGGATTCTTTTTAATAAAACTTAAAATACGACAATCCAACAACTTATGAATTTAGGATAATAACTTGTATAATTTTAAAAAGTATGTGAAGGAAAACTAAGAACAAGACACTAATTTAGACAAAAGGAAAATAAAGATCCCAAACAGAATATTAAGTTTGGCAAACAGAATGCTTAAATTGAAATGAAATGAAAGTTCAGTGACTAATTTAGACAAAATGAAAAGGCGAACGATGAAAATGAAACCATGAGATAAGTTGGGTGACCAATAGTGTTCCAATTCGCTTTTTTCTTTTCTTCCCCCTTCTTCTCCATTACCGTCGTCTGTTCAATCACAGAAAACCCTTGCACTGCTACCCCCAAAACAGTACAAACCCTATTTCACACTCGATATATACTATATCAAACTCATATATTTGCACATATATACACTAATTATTTTATATTATAATTATGGATGAAGGAGAAGGGGGTTTAAGCTTCGACTTCGAGGGGGGCCTAGATACGGGCCTGACACAACCCACAGCATCTGTACCCGCAACCCATTCATCGGCGGACCCGATCACCGCCTCGGCGGCAGCCTCAAATGCCAACAATTCGTCAGCCGCTCAAGTTCAGGCGGTTCAGGCGGCGGATGGGCTGGGAGGGGGCAGGCGGAGCTTCCGGCAGACGGTGTGCAGACACTGGTTGCGATCGCTTTGCATGAAGGGTGACGCCTGTGGATTTCTCCACCAGTACGACAAGTCACGGATGCCCATCTGTAGGTTCTTCCGCCTCTATGGGGAGTGCCGTGAGCAGGACTGTGTGTATAAACACACAAACGAGGATATCAAAGAATGCAATATGTATGTATACATGAAGTTTTTCCCGTATTTTTGGTATTTGTGGAGATTTGTATGTGTGCGCGTGTTCTTGATGACGGTACGGAGCAAGGTTCGACCTTCTAAGCACTTGTTTTGTAATGTGATGCGGTTGGTTTGGCTGCAATGAATGTCTTTTATGTTTAAGATTATGAAAAAAATTAACGATTCTGGGATATGTAAGTGTCATGGGATTTGGTTTTATAAAATGAATTTGGCCTGACATTATGAGGATTTAATGGGTTGTTAAGATAATTGGTTACTGTCGAGTAAACTACACAATTTTTCCCACTTCCTTTGGATATTGTTTCCCTCTGTCCATTGGATGAATTGTTGTCCTTTCACAAGATGAGTGCTCTGGAAGGATATATAAGCAGATAATAGATATATTGGTACATTATTGTCTTTGGGTCATTGGAAAAAATATTGACTTTCCTACATAAAACGAATGGAACGAGTTTTCTTCTTATATGATATATCATGTTTTGTGTGTGTATCAGGTATTTTCATCTTCTCATGCATGATAAAAGTTTTTACTAGGATTTATGTATACGTATAATCATGAAATGCTACTCCCAACAATATTGGGAACTCATTTGAAAGTTTAGTTAACGCTTTTTGTGCTCAACATTATGCTAAATTTGTTATTCTGTCTCGATCTCATTGATGGTTCAAAAAAGAAAAATAATTGCATCAGAATGTCTTATCATCTATCATCTGTCTGTTTTCTGATTGGAGGCTCTATATTATAGGTATAAATTGGGATTTTGTCCAAACGGTCCTGATTGTCGGTATAGGCATGCAAAGCTGCCCGGACCTCCACCTCCCGTGGAAGAAGTTCTTCAGAAGATTCAGCAGTTGACATCCTACAACTATGGGAACTCAAACAGGTTTCAAAACCGTAATGCTAATTACGCCCACCAGACAGAAAAACCACAGTTCCAACAAGGGCTCAACGGGGCGAATCAGGTTGGAAATACGACCATGATAGAGTCCTCTAATGTGCATCAGCAACAAAATCAACAGTCTCATCAGCAGGTCAGCCAGGCTCAAATACAGAATCTTCCTAATGGCCAGCAAAATCAAGCTAGTAGGACAGCAACATCCTTGCCCCAAGGAACATCTAGGTGTGTTCAGAGTTACAAGGTCTTTAATTAGGTTGCGTGAACAGTTCATGTATTTATTTGTGGATGTTACTTTGAGAGATCTGTCCTGTGTCGACTGTAATTAG